GTCGAATGTAAAATAATTCGAACGAGGTTGAATGTAACGTGATTCGAGCGAAGTCGAATGTAAAATAATTCGAACAAGCTCGAATGTAAAATAACTGGAACGAGGTCGAATGTAAAACAATTCGAACGAGGTCGAATGTGGAGTGTGGTGCTCGGTGGAGAGTAAAGATGCTGTTTTATTTCATTCATTGGAGAATATCTTAGTGGAGAGTAAAAAGTTCTGCTTTATTTCATTCATTGGAGAATATTACAAGCGTTTTTCATTTCATACATATATTGGAGAAGTTTCCATGTATCCAGTCCCTTCATCGTACGTCCTGGAAAAGTAGTCGACAGGCGGGGCGATGAGCTATAGTTGAACTTCGATACATCCCCTTTATCGCCTCGTTAAAAACCTCTCCAAGAAAACCCAATTGAGATAAAACTCGGATGAGGGAAAAAGAGTACGACGTGGGGGACGTCTGTTTTCAAAAGTTAAAGTATTTGAGATGGGCGACATTCCAATTGTTATGTAGTAGTTTTCCCTCCATGGTTTCTAGTTGAAAAGATCCCTTGTTTGCTGCTGCTGCTGTGATTTTATATGGCCCGTCCCAATTGGTTCCTAGTTTTCCTTCTCTTGAATCTTTGTTTGCTTATGTTTTAGCCTTGAGTACATAGTCTCCGTCTTTAAGTGGTCGTATTTTGGCATTTTTGTTGTAGTACAGTTCTGCTTGTTGCTTTTGGGCTACCATTCTTACGTAAGCCATGTCCCTTCGCTCCTCCGCTTCATCGAGGTCCTGTTTTCTATTTTCATCGTTGCCCGGCCCACTTTCGTTGGAGTATCTCAGAGTGGGTTTGCTGACTTCAACCGGTATCATGGTGTCAGTCCCGTAGACTAGTAATTATGGCGTTTTTCCTGTGCTTGTTTTCGGCATGGTGCGGTATGCCCACAGTACCTCTGGGAGTTATTCCGGCCATAGTCCCTTGGCATCTTCAAGTTTTTTCTTCAAGATATCCAGTATTGTTTTGTTGGAGGATTTGGCCTGCCTGTTGCCGGCCGAGTGATATGGCGTGGAGAGTATTCGCTAGATGTGCCATTTTTTGAAGAACTCGGTGGTCTTCTTTCCGGTGAACTGGGGTCTATTATCACAGCTGATTTCTTTGGGGATGCCAAAGCGGCATATGATGTTTCTCCATATGAATTTGATAAGTTCCTATTCACGTATTTGAGTGAATGCACCTGCTTCTACCCATTTGGAGAAATAGTCAGTTAAAACTAACAGAAACCGTACAATACCTCGCCCTGCTGGGAGGGCTCCGACATGTCCATTCCCCATTTGATGAACGGCTATGGCAATGTGACAGAATGGAGGTGTTCGCCCGCTTGGTGTATTGTAGGGGCATATTTCTTGCACTGTTCGCAATTCTAACATAATCGGTGGCTTCCTTTTTCATTGTGGGCCAATAATATCCTGCTCGAATGAGGCATCTGACGAGGGCCCAATTTTCGGTATGGTCACCGCAGCAGCCTTTGTGTACTTCTTCGAGTACGCGACTTGTTTGATTCAGTCCTAGGCATTTCGCTAAGGGGCCTCCAAACGTCCTTTTGTATAACTCGTGATTTATGAGCCTGTATCTGGCCGCCTGCATTCGAAGTTTTTTGGCTTCTTTTTTGTTCGCTGGGAGCGTTCCTTCCTGCAAATATGTTATAATACGGTTGTGCCAGTCCCTAGTCAAATTTACAGAGTGTACCTCGAGTTGGTCTATTGATGAATGTAGGAGGGCGACCATATTTTCCATTGTGATGTTCTTGGTGGCCGCTGCTAATTTGGCGAGGCCATCTGCTTCCATGTTTTGTGCTCGAGTTATCTGGTCAAGTCAACATTCATCGAGTTCCGGTAGCAATTTATGAATTTTTGCCTCGTACCATTGTAGCCTCTACTCTTTGATTTGGAAAGTCCATGTGACTTAGTTGACGACAAGTTGTGAGTCGCATCTGAGGATGACTCAGCGTGCTCCATATTTGGGAGCTAGTTTCATTCCTACAATCCTGCAGTCACGGTCTCATACTCGGCCTCATTGTTAGCCATATCAGGGCACCGTATGGACTAGCGAATGACTTCGCTTGTTGGGACCTCGAGTACAAGTCCCAGTCCAGATCCTAACGCGTTGGACGCGCCATCGGTGTATAGGACCCATAGGTCGTGTAGATCAAATGAGGTCCGTGAAATTTCCTCTTCGACCTCTGTTATTACTTTGTTACTGATATCGGCGATGAAGTCGCCGAGTACCTATGACTTTATCGCTGTTCGCGGTTGATACGTTATATCATGCTCGCTCAATTATATGGTCCATTTGGCCAATCTCCCTGACAGTTCGGGTTTATGCAGGATACCTCTTAAGGGGAAGGTTGTCACCACCGATATGGGGTGGCATTGAAAATAGGGTCTAAGCTTTCGTGAAGCTACGACCAACGCCAATGCCAACTTCTTGAGGTGAGGGTACCTCATTTCGGCATCGATGAGAGTTTTGCTAATGTAATAGATTGGGGATTGCGTATCTTTATCCTCGCGGACTAATACTGCACTTACCGCGACTTCTGATACGGCCAAGTATACAAGGAGGCGTTCACCGGGTTCTGCTTTTGCGAGTAGCGGGGGAGATGATAAGTACGCTTTTAGTTCTCTAAAGGCCTCGATGCATTCTGTACTTCGCTGGAGCCCGTTGTCCTTTTTGAGCACGTTAAAGAACTTGTGGCATCTGTTGGAGGATCGCGAGATGAATCTTGATAGGGCAGCTATGCGACCCATCAATTTTTGTACCTGTTTCTTGTTGGTCAATACTTCAGATATTCCCTCAATGGCCTTGATTTGGTCGGGATTGACCTCAATGCCTCTTTCTGACACCAAGAACCCGAGGAACTTGCCTGAAGTTACGCCGAAGGCACATTTTTCGGGGTTCAGTTTCATACCGTACTGCCTCAGTATTTCGTAGGCTTCCTTCAGGTGGTCTATGTGATCTTCCTTCCTTTTTGATTTGACCAACATATCGTCTATGTAGACTTCCATTGTTTTGCCAAGCTGGTTCTTGAACATTTTGGTCACCAATCTTTGATAAGTTGCTCCTGCGTTCTTCAAGCCAAATGGCATGACCCGGTAACAGTATGTTCCTTGGTGGGTGATTAAAGTGGTCTTCGCTTGGCCATCTTCCTCCATGAGGATTTGGTTGTAGCCTGAGTAGGCGTCTAGGAAACTCAACACTTCGTGCCCTGTAGTTATGTCAATGAGCTGATCGATGTGAGGCAGAGGAAAGGATTCTTTTGGGCAGGCCTTGTTTAGGTCCATGAAATCCACACACATTCGCCATTTCCCTTTTTTCTTTTTGACCATGACTACATTGGCGACCCATTGAGGATATTTTGAATCTCAGATGGAGCCGTTAGCGAGTAGTTTATCCACTTCCTCGCTGATGGCCTCGTTTATTGCAGTGTTGAATTTTCTCCTTGCTTGTCGTACTGGGGGGTAGAATGGATCGACGTTCAATTTGTGTGTGCGGACGTCTTTCGGAATCCCTGGCATATCTGCATGGGAGAAAGCGAACTGATCAGCATTATTGGTTAAAAATTTATGAAATTTACATGGCTCGGAGAGCTTATGACCTATATAGGCCTTTTTGTTGCTGTCGCTACTATCCAGTTGGACGGGGTCAAGGTCTTCTATTGTCGATCTTGCGGCCTCCATGATGTCGGGGTCCTTAATAACGTCTTTCCGATCATTGGGTTCATATCCCGACATCGTTAATTGCTATGCTTCTAAGCTTGTTCCTTATAGCTGTTGAGTGAATGTGCAATCTTGAGCGATGCATTAGCAGTCTTAGGCTGTGTGTTGTTCACCTCGGATGCTGGATATTCCCCACGGGGTAGGGAATTTGATTACTTGGTATAGACTGGACGAGATGGCCCTCATGGCATGTATCCATCGTCGTCCGATGATTGCGTTGTAAGTTGTATCCTGGTTCATGACGTGGAATGTTGTTTCCAAGGTGATACCTTCGTCCAGGACGGGCAGTGTTATTTGTCCTGAGGTTCGTTCGACTGCATTGTTAAAGCCCGTTAGTGTTATGCAGCGCAATACTATCTTGTCCTCGAGTCGCATTTGTGTAAGTACTCGGGGATGGATAATACACGCGCCGCTTCCGCCGTCTACCATTATTCTTTTATCATCAGTATTTGAAATACGTAAGGTAATGACAAGAGCTTCGGAGTGAGAAAAAATCAGATCGTTGGTATCTGACTTATCGAAGATGATACTTTCTTCGAGGTCATCATACCGATCTTGAGTGATTGACCGCTTCAGCTTGTGTGTGGTGGTAAATTTTATGTGGTTGACCGCTGCTTCATCGCCTCTATAGATAATCATTTGAATGTTGCGGGCAGGAGAGGGTGGCTTTGGAGGCCCCCGGTGCTGTTCCCGTCCATGGCCAAAGTTGGCTCGCCCTTGGTCACTCGTTAACTCCTTCAGGTGTCCTTGGTTCAGCATGTTAACCACTTCTTGCAGTAGGGCTATGCAGTCCTCGGTCCTGTGACCCCACTCCTGGTGAAATTCACAAAGGACGTTCGACTTTCGGGTGCTGGGGTCGGACTTTATTTTTTGTGGCCATTTAACCTTCGTGCCAAGCTTCTCTAGTTCGTACACTACTTCTGAAGGAGAAACACAAAAATTGTGAGCGGATAAGAGTGCGGGCATACCTCTTTCGTTTCGTTGAGTCCCTGTGTGCGGCCTGGACGGCCCTTCCATAAGTCGAGGGGATGGTGGAATGGTGGTTCTGACATAAGGCTGATGCCTATCTCGGTTGAGGCGTGGTCCAGGCTGATCTCTTCGACTGTCATTACGACGGTCTTTCCTTGGCTCTATTTGGATTGATGTTAAATGTTGGGTTGGACCGTTAAGGTCGTCATCGTCTGCTCTCACCTCGGCACAGTAGGCATTGTGAATTTCTTCCCAAGTGGTGGGAGGGTGTTTCATGAGCCTGCTTAACAGCTCCCTAGTTGCTCTTGATCCATTTCTGTTCAACCCGTTTTGGAAGGCTGCTACCGCTATCCCTTCTGATATGTTTGGTAAGCTCATTCTCACCCTGTTAAACCGAGCGAGGAAGTCCCTGAGTCCCTCGCCTGGTGATTGCCTAACGGCGAATATGTCGTTCACCCTGGCCTCCGCTTTCTTAGCTCCGGCATGGGCGGTGAAGAACTTATCAGCCATTTCTTCAAATGTTGTTATGGACCGTGGTGGTAGTTGTGAGTACCAGGTTAGGGCTCCTCCAGTTAGGGTTTCGCCAGACTTTTATAGTAGCACTGACGGTACTTGCTCCTTTGATAGATCGTTGCCCTTTACTGCCGTGACATAGTGAATGATGCGGTCTTCTGGGTCTGTGGTGCCATTGTATATTTTTAAATATGGCGGCATTTTGAAGGTCTAAAGCAGAGAATGTTCTATTGTATTGAATATTCATGTGTTTTACAAAATGACAAGGGTCCCCTTTATATAGGAGGGGGGAATCCCAACATAGTGTATGTCTAATATTGACGAGGAAATATTATTGGTACAGCTGTATAATGGTTTAGTACAAATTTGTACTATTTGTCGCAGACTCTGTCAGTTCTAATCACGTGCCCTTGGGAATTTCTCTCCTTTCCATGTTGGTCGTCGATTTTCATGCTGCCTCGAGGTACGCTGTGATGAGTCTTCAATACACCCTCTTGAGGCGAGTGCTTCGGGGACAAGCCTTAGATTGTGCTTCGAGCCCATCGAGGCCGGGCTTGAAACGCCATAAAACTTTAAATCAGCCTTCCTTGATTTTGATCGTATACAGATAGTCCCCGCGTTTCTTGGAATGAAATACAAGGACGATTGATTCTCAACTCTTCAATGCCTCCATCATTACGT